ACCAGACAATCAGAGACCAACATGCAAGTGGTATCATCGAGGAAGTCCCGAATGCCGTGCCCACTGGGCCGGTCCACTATTTGCCACACCACTGCGTCCAGCGTCAGGCCAGCACAACAACCAAACACCGCATCGTCTACGATGCGTCAGCAAAAACCAACAAGGATGGAAACAGCCTCAATGACTGCCTTCACAGCGGCCCCAGCTTGCTTCCTGACCTGGGTGGCATACTGGTCCGTTTTCGCCTGTTCCCTGTTGGGATCACCAGCGATATTGAGAAGGCATTCCTCCAAGTGGGCCTCGACGAACCAGACCGGGACTACACCCGCTTTCTGTGGCTCAAGGACATTTCTCAACCAGTCTCACCAGCAAACCTGGTGACATATCGTTTCTGTCGAATCCCGTTTGGTGTTATTTCCAGCCTGTTCTTGCTGTCTGCCACCATTCATCACCATCTCGACAACAGCAACAGCACGCTCGGTTATGAAATCCGCGACTCCACCTATGTGGACAATGTGATAACTGGGCGCAACACGGCTGTCGAAGCCAGTACTCTCTATGATTCTGCAAAGAGCCTATTCAACGACGCCGCTATGAATCTCCGTGAATGGTCATCTAACAGTGATGAATTCAACCACACCCTGCCAGACTTCGACAAGGCCACATCCAACAATGTGAAATGCCTCGGCCTGGCTTGGGATACGAAAGAGGACACTCTCAATGTCATTTCTCCTAATGTGGATCACAAACACGCCAACACCAAGCGCAGCATCATCTCCGCTGCTGCTCGCTTTTACGATCCCGTTGGCTACCTGTCACCTCTGTTTGTTCGAGCCAAACTTCTGATCCAGGACATCTGGAAAGCAAAGCTCGACTGGGATGATCCGGTTCCCAACAGCATTGCAGATGATTGGCAGGCTATTGCCCAAGACCTGGACAAAGCAGACACGTTCAAGCTCCACCGTTTCACTGGTCTTGACCCAGCATCTGTCACTCGCCGCGAACTTCATGTGTTCTGCGACGCATCCGAAAAATCGTACGGTACGGTTGCCTATCTCCGTGAAGAAAGCGCCACAGCTGTGGCCACAGTCCTGCTCGTCACCAAGACGAAGGTAGCTCCACTCAAACAAATGACAATTCCTCGTTTGGAGTTGATGGCAGCGCTAATCGGTTCTCGGCTTATCAAATTCCTCCAGAACACACTGCCATTTGATCTCCACCGCACTGTTCTGTGGTCCGATTCAACTTGTGTTCTACACTGGATCAATGGCACGAACCAGCAATCTGTGTTTGTCCAGCGGCGACTAATGGAAATTCGGTCGAATCCGACAATTGCGTTCAAGTACGTCAGTACAGATTGCAATCCTGCCGACCTACCCTCACGTGGTGCAACAGCTGCTGCATTGCACGCCAGCAAACTCTGGTGGGAAGGTCCTGAATGGCTACGCGGTGATACCAGCTCACTCGGTGAACTTCCATCCCCTTCACTTGCCACAGCTGCAGCAATGGCCTCAGAACCACCCACTGAGGTATCTGTCGCAATCAATTCTTGCTCTGGGGAGGGTCCTTTCATCTCTATCCAAAGGTATTCCAGTTGGTCGAAAGCGGTACGCGTAATGGCTTACGTGAAACTGGCAGTACAGAAGCTGCAAGGCAAATGCAAACAACAAACACAACTAACCACAACCAATATCAAGGAAGCTGAAATGGAATGTGTACGAGTTATCCAAGGTCAAGAATTTGGTGAAATTAAAAATGCAATTCAGAAAAAACAAAAAATGGAACTCGTTACCAAACTCGGTCTACTTATCGATACCAACGGCCTAATTCGGTGCGCAGGGCGCATGAAGAATGCTAGGTTTCCAGAATCTGGTCCAATACTGCTGCCACGGAAACATCCTGCCACGAGGCTAATCGTGCAACTGTGCCACGCTCGCGCTCAGCACTCCGGTACTAGCCAGACGCTCATGGAGGTGCGTAAGCGTTTCTGGATAACTCGTGGGCGGGCCACCGTGCAGACAATATTGCACAGCTGCTACCACTGCAAGAAATGGGAAGCGAAACCATACCCAATGCCGGATTTTGCTCCACTGCCGAGCAAGCGTGTTAACAGGTGCATACCATTCTCGTACACTGGTATCGATTACTTCGGCCCAATGACAATGACCAAGGAAAGCGAGAAATGCAAGGTATGGGTTTGCCTGTTCACATGTTTGACTACCCGCGCAATCCACCTCGAGCGCATGGAAGACTGCAAGCACATGATCCACCTGCTGTGGATACTGTTGTCCTAGTCAACGAAGAAAAGATGCCACGCGGCTCTTGGTTAATTGGACGAATTGACAAACTGCACAACAGTAATGATGGTGAAATCAGATCTGCAACAGTTGTTCTGCCATCCAAGCGGCCGATCCAACGTCCACTATGTCTGTTGTACCCAATTGTGCAAGCGGAGAATCACGATGCAGCGCACGATGACTCGCCGCTCGCACAACCTGTACAGCCTGCACAACCTACACAGCAACAACCAGCTCGACCAACACGCCGTGCAGCCGCTGGTTCCCGTGCTAACCTGAAGAACCTAATAAGTCAAGGTGCAGTATAACTCTGTAAACTCTGTAAATAGTCTGCATGAATGTATTTATACACAGTACACTCTCTTGTTGAACACTAAGCAATCACCACACACTCATTTACACTTTGTCTACACTACTGCAATTGCAATCGCTCTTCTTCTCTGTTGTGGGGAGTGTCGCGAACGTCGCGATGAAATACATGTACATGAATTCGGAATAACCAATTTATATTTGCACTACATGACGATGATTTTGTACTCTCTTGCTTGCTTACGTTGTGGACGATTCCACGCTTGGGTTAGCCGAAGTCTAGTTCCCCATCGTCCTTTCTAGTGATTAATTTCATTCTACTTCGAAGTAGCTTCGAAGCAATCCTTCGTTTCTCTATTCTTTGCATTTTTGTTCACAAACAAATTCTTCGTTATGTTTCGTCCCGTGAGTATTTTCGCGCTCTTGATTTGTTTTGCTCACGCGTGACTTTCCGGTTCCTTTCCTTTCCTTTTGTTATGCATGACCATGATGACGTATTGGTATGACGTTTATGTGTACGTGACCACGTGACTGCGCGTTCACTAACTACATGACTGTACAGACAGTAGGCTAGTGCATTTTAGCGATTCGCTCTCCTTGCTGTTCACTTCTTCTCCATTTCTGTTTTGTCGCTGCACTAGTTCCTTTTTGTTACCATGCCACGTAAATGAAGGTCGTGGTCGCCATTTTTATGCATGTTCTTTGTGCCCAGCTGCCTGTGGATGCAGCTGCCCTTTTTCCGTTGAAATTTGATCTTGTTTGAGAAAGAAACAAAGAAACAAACTTTCCAAAGCAAGAAACGTAAATGTCTTTCATGTCCGTTGAGTCGGGATCTTTATGATGTCGCGAGTCACGGCAATCCTGAGTTTGTTTTGCCTACTTGTGTTTTCGTCGTCTTCTTGTTTATACAAAGTCTTACTTATTCAGTCATCTCCTCATTATTGTTCAAAGGTGGAGATGGGATGGGGCTGGGAGCAAGGAGAGTAAAATTTTCTAACATCTTATGCATTTTATGACAAAAATATGTCGTGGCCTATACTCCGGTGTGGCTTACACGCCAGAAAATACGGTAATATTGGCTGACAGAAAGACAACAGACAGAGAGATGGACAGATAGACGGACCGATCGACAGATAGGCGGACAATCTGATGGACAATCAGACATACAGACAGATGGACAGACAGACAGACAAACAGACATACAGACAGATGTACAAACAGACAGACAGGCAATACTAGATTGACTGATACCAAGGGTACATAACCAAGAGTGTGCAACTCCTATCTTGAGCTGCGATGGGCTCCCCACGGCGAAATTTTTTTATTGCGTCATTCTTTGGCAGAAGTATGATGAAGTGGGTATGCATTCCCGCGCTTGTTTTGTAGATACGGTGAGAGTTCGTCAGGTTCAAGACAAATCAATCTATCATCCGTTGTTCTGCTTCGACTACCGTAGCTGTGCTGTACAAATTCTTTGTACTTTGATCTCTGGCTACGCATGATGGCATCAGCGAGCCAAACAGACGCCAAAGACTGATGTCATAAAAAAATTCTGTCGTGGGCTGGGGGATCGTCGAGTTGCACACTCTTGGTTATGTACTCTTGGTGGTACTGAAATGCGAGGATTATCATTCTGAAGAAGGCAATCGTCGAAACATAACCATCAAATCGGGTCTTGCTCATGCCGTCGGTCGGTCTCTCTGTCTGTCTGTCCATCTGTCTGTCTGGCTGAAATAGAAATAGTTCTGCCATCTCACCCTGGCCCCTGCCACACAACAGCGCAAACAACTTTCTCCTTTCTTACACTATTATCTCTTATTGGCCACTGGCTATCGTGAGAATAAAGATTTGAAACTTGGTAGAGTTTCTGACTTCTTATACAAACGGAAAGGGCACAGGAGGATAAAGACGAAAATGGACACGACAAAAAGACAACGGAAAAGACTCGAAGAAACAACCGAGAACAAGCAGTAATATTGCGATGACAAATCGGGACGACCAATCAGGGACTAATACGTACAGAAAACATGACCAAGACCAAGACAACCAGACCACGGACGAATCACACATTACTCTCATTCCCAGACCAAACTAGCACTGTGCATGTACAGCATTCACTTGACAGTCACTCTCACACAGACGGAAGCAGATCCTCACACTCTGACAACGCGTACTCTTGCATGCACCACATACCATGAACGTCACACATCACACCATACTCGCACGTACACTTAGACCATATATGACATCAGACACTGGACTCTACAAGATAAGAACCAAATACAACAACATGCGTAAAACATAGTCGTAATACAATTTCGCAACATGTCCATCTGTCTGTCCGCATGTCTCTCTGTCTGTCTGTCCATCTCTGGTGGTTGTTCTTACTCTCACCTGTGCAATAGGAAGAACTTTTTGTGAAACCGGGGTTGCATATGCAAGTGTGCCAGGTACGTGTGACATGGCACACTGAATTAGCTGGACATTGGCCCGGAAAGCAGCCTTGGGCTGCAGGACACACACACACACACACACACACACACACACACACACACACATACACATACACACACACAGACACACACACACAAACATGAGTGCGTAAAACTGGGCTGACTGCGTGGGTGGCGTCACTTCTCCAGACAGTAGTACGAGCAAGGTTGTGAAAGCAAGCTGCCAATGGTGAAGCTGGACATGTGCAGTGCTAACGCTAGCTCTACTGGTAGTTAAATATTCGGCGAGGAGGCAACAAATTTAATTGAAGAGAATGTATATCAGTGCGGTGGAGATTCAAATGACGCTCAGTGTTGTTAGAAACAACGCATTCCTAAAAGCAGCGCCAATCACAGTGGCGCAGTGCAGATGTTCGCGCTATTGCCGGAGCCCTCCAGGAAAAACCTACACTCAGGAGAGCTTTATGGGATTGAAAAATAGAAGAACATTTTGTTTGCCATGCTCATCTTGCAAAGTCCATATTTCAGTCTATTTCCCAAGAAATGGCTGCTGATTCACCAACTTGCTGGATTTGTATGAGCAAGGTTGGTCATCAGCTAGGCAGCTAGGCAAAAAAGCATAGCATAGAACCTGAGCTTCCAAGCTCTCTCGGTCCCGAAGCTATGCACATGACATTCATTACCTTGGAATGGTAGCACCTGGCACTAACCAGGGTCCACAGTGCTGCCTTTGAGCGTGTGTATGTGTGTGTGTGTGCGCGCGTGTGTGTGTGTGCGCGTGTGTGTGTGTGTGTGTGTGTGTGTGTGTGTGTGTGTGTGTGTGTGTGTGTGTGTGTGTGTGTGTGTGTGTGTGTGTGTGTGTGTGTGTGTGTGTGTGTGTGTGTGTGTGTGTGTGTGTGTGTGTGTGTGTGAGTGTTCATATGGTGGAGTGGTATGTGCAGTCGATTTCCAATCGAGAGGTTGCGGGTTCAATTCCACTGTTGTCAAAGCCTGGGCTCTTGCCAGTATCTACATTGCTTAGAAGTTTCTCGACCTCCTCCTCTGTTATTGCGATTTTATTTATAGTATGAGTTGTGTCAGGGGTGGTGCTGTTGTCTGGTGTGGTAAAGGGAGGTCTTGTTGGTTGACTGTTGGCTTTGGGTGATAAGGAACTCGTTGAGAGCTGTTGCCTTCTCCATGGCCGTGGCTGCAGTGGAGTTGGCTGTCGTTAGTGTGGGAATTGTTTCCTTGGGCGTTCTTCAGGTGTATTAGTAGACGGTGGAGGTTTTCCCCGTCGACATTGTTTGCTGGACAAAATCTGACTTAGCCTGTCGCAAAAGAGCGGTTTCTCGGTTTCGCTGAGCTGTGTAGAGTTTCCAGCCAGAGTCTAATTGGTTCGCCTTGTAGGTGCGGAACTGTTTGTGCTCTGTTTTGATCTCGCTGAGAAGATCCTTCGTCATCCGGAGACGAGTGGGCATAGTATTTTTTGCGGGATTTGCTTCTGGTCACTTGGCAGTGGTACATGGCTAGCTGCAATATCTAGTGTCCTTCAGATTGAGCCTGGCTGAGGGTCAGTTGCGTTCGCGTGGTACCGCAGATTGTTGTTGTTCTTGTTGTATGCTTTATTTATAGTGGAAATCAAAAACAGGCATAATGCCAAATAGCATTGGACCCACTGTGAATAAAAATTCAAAGGGTATTGTGGAAAAGCAGAGATAGGAAAAAGAAAGAAAAGAAAACGGAAGGTTGGTTGTAACGAACGAATATCAATCCAGTAAGCTATGGGAAACCTATGTAGCTGATAATCGGTTAAAACCGTGAAACTCAGAGATACAGTGGAAACGCGTTTGATTCCTATCAAGTGTGTGTAGCTCACTGGCGGGTTTAGGGGGGGGGGGGGCGCGGGGGGCGCGCGCCCCCCCCCTCAAAAATTTCGACCTAGGTTTCGAAAAATAATAGGCAGGGCGCTAGGGCGCCGTCGGGGCGCGCGCGGCCTGAAACGATTGTCCAAAAGCGGTTGCACGGTCGAGCTGGTGTTGATTGTACACACTACAGACTAGTAGTAGTAGTACAGTACAGTCTACAGAGTAGAGTCTACGTAGTGAGCATGCACGGCGCGGCTACAGAAACACGGTGACCTGACTGGGTACTGTTGTACAGTGTGAATGTGTGTGATCCCTGCTGGGACGCGCTCGACGCGTCTTCAACGGTACAAACATCGAAGAAAAGTCTTCGATCGAGTCAACCAAAACACGATTCGAATGCCGAGGGCTCAGGCGATCATCCTCGTTCGAATCGTGTTTTGGTTGACTCGAAGGCTTTTCTTCGATGTCTCAGGGACATCCCAAAAGGCCAAGCTCTAGCCAGCAGAGCCTGGAATTTTTGTAAAGCGTTCCTGTGGCGGCGCAACTCCTGCTGCCGCTCCAACAGGAAACAGTGGGAGTGATGAAGTCGCTGTTATTCCAGTTGAACTTTCGACTGACAGTCACACTCCGCCAGACGCGGAAGAATCTGTTGTCAGCGAGTAGCCAGAACATGAAGAACAGCGCACAGTGACAAGTACCGCTGCCTATGTAAAGGATGCTTTGACTCTTTGCGAGCGGTGAGAAATTGTTGGACTCGCATAAATAATTGCAGTTGATTCGCTCACCTAACGGCAAATTTGAAGTTTACAATGTACATTGTTGCTGCGTGTACAGAAATACTGCTCGTGGTGTGTGAGATTTACGGCTTGTTGTTGTTGTTTATTTTACTTCACCAAATGAGCAGGCAGAGATGCCTTCTCACCTGCCCATAGGACAGGTTCTCACAGAATGATGAAGGGATGATATGCAAGGGAAAACAAGAAATGATAATAATAATAATTATAAGACAGAAAGGACCAAAAGAAGAAAAGGAAAAATTTATATGAAGACAATTTCATGGAGTCAGAAATAGAAAGACAATAATTTCATGGAGTCAGGAACACGTGGTTGATTTTATAGACATGCATGCACAAATGTGATAGATGAGAAGGTTGGAATATATGGCAGATAATAAAAGTTTAACGAGGATATTCACAAAGTGAGTATATCAATGGCAGAAAGAGCTTTTCGGAAGGGACCAGGGACACGTATCACTCTAAAATCAGGGGGTAGAGCGTTCCAGAGAATGCTTCCCCAAAACATCATGGTCGATCGTCCCGCAGGCCCACGAAGAAAGGGAACTTGAAGCAAGTTCGACACTTGTCCCCCGTGTGGTGCGCTGATCCTCCGGAACAGTCTCTGGGGCCGTTCGGGTGAATAACTGTTGAAGAAGGGGGCTACAAGAGGAGCTTCTTGACATCGGTTTTCAAAATGGCTGACCTGGGACAGTAGCATGATGTCATCTACCCCCACCCCATCCCGCCTTGATCCCGGCCGCAACCCCCCCCCCCCCCCTCAGCCAAATCCTGGACACGCCACATAATTATATTATCAGCTACGCCGTAGCTGATAATATATGTAGGACTCAGTGACCAGTCAAGGCCCCGTGACCAATCATGGTCCCCGTGACCAGTCAAACAGTCACAAATCCCCCATGACCAGTCACAAATTAGTTTACCAGTCACAATGCCCCATGACCAGTCACAAATCACCATACATGTACATGTGTAAAGTACACAGTTCGTGACTGCTCGCAGGGTGCTTCGTACTGCAGGATTTGTTGTGGGACCTATAATTCCCTATGAGCGGTCACAGAATACAGTTGTGACCACTATAATTCCATGCGAGAAGTTACATGCGGAATGTACAGTTGTGACCACTCTTTCTCTGTGAGTAGTCACAGGCAGAATACAGGTATTTCTGTATTACAAGAGAGAGTGGAGGCTTTGTCACAACTCTGAGTTTCACGTATTACTACGATCGTCAGGCAACTGATGGCTCCTAAATGGGCAGCCTGAACATAAGGGGGAGCAAGGTGGGAAATTCTGAGGGGTATCATAGGCGATGCGTATCATAGCGCAAGAGTCAGGTGCAGGCGTGAAGTTGCCAAGTCTTCAGACTTGGGGCTATGCAGCAGCAGTTCCAGCGTGAATGACATAGAATAGAGCTGGGGGCTTAAATGCCAAAACCACACATGCCCACACCATTACACACACATACACCCACACTCTCTCCCTTTTCTCACATACACATACACTCACACTCATGCGCACACACACACACACACACACACACACACACACACACACACACACACACACACACATGCACACACAGACACACACTCATTCTCTAAATCTCTCTCTCTCACACACACACACACACACACACACACTCACACACTACTACTACTATAGCATGACTGCCCATTGGGCAATGTCACCCCCGGAGGGGGCCAGAGTTTGGAGTGCACCGTCATTGGCAGGACTTCTGGTGCCTCGTCAAATCTTGCTGTCGTCGGAAACGTTTCGGGCAATGCATGCAGATCAGCGGCAGTGATTCCCTATCGGCTGCAGCAAGACGTTTTCCACGGTTGCAGTTATGGCGGTTAAAACCAGCCCGGGACTTGAAGCAGCGATTGCAGCGTTGACAATGCTGGAAGCAGCAACCAGCGAGAGACGCCGTCAATGCCGTATCTGCATGTTCAGGGAGTGCAGGCTGGCAGCGATGAACTGCAAGCCCACCCTTACTGCGGAACCATCGGCAGCAACTGACGCACTGTGCTGAACCACGCTGTTGGTGGACGGGAAGTTGGCGCTCAGCCAAACACTTGTGCCGTGCCTTTCTCACACACACACACACACACACACACACACACACACACACACACACACACACACACACATGCACATCCACACACACACGCACACATCCACACACATCCACGCACACACACACACACATACACACACATTCTATCTCTCTCTCTCTCACACACACACGCACACATACACGCACACACTCACACATGCGCGCGCATACTTACTTACTCACACACACACACACACACACACACACACACACACACACACACACACACACACACACACACACACACACACAAATAGGCAGCGGGACTACCATCTAGATTCACGTGACCTTGCGGACAAAGTTACGGAGGTAGAACTTGTTTTCATGACGACACTTGGACACAAGTATTTCTGTATTATTATTTTATCTCTTTTCAACCAATCCACAAGCCAAAAAGAGATGCGTAGACGGAAGAACCGTCCTCTTGGTGATACTGATCGCAAACATGATTAATTCCTCCAGGCCATTGAGCACCCAATTCTAAACCTTATCTAAGCAAAGCTCTTGTCAAGGCAGCATGCCAGTTCAAGAACATCTCGTCAGACATACATATCGATACATGTCTGGTGCACTCTCACTAACAAGTAGGCATCGCAGGCTACATTCGCACCAGCAATCAAAAGAAGTTGAAGTGAGTGAATATTTCTACTTGCAAGTATAAAATTAATAATTGAAAGACAAATGAAGGAGTGGTGGTTCGCCCAAAACACTGACAAGGAGACAGTAAACAGTACACAGTGCTCGTATGCATGTACTTATACAAGTACACGTTACAGCAGCACAACGAGAAAGACCATGTTTAGTGGGTTGCTTTTACGCGTGCCACTAAATCACGCGGCTTATAGTATTCGAAATCCCCAAATCCCCTGGTCGACAGAAAGCACCGGCGTAAGCTAGAATTTAGCTCATAGCTGGACAAATTATCTCAAACATCTCCCATCAGAGAGAAGAGAAAAGAAGCCAGTAAAAACTCTAAGCATGGCCACAAAAGCCACCAGTCAAAAGATTACAGAAAAATACACACTGCGGAAAAGGGCACAACCTTTGTACGCAGGAGCTGTCAGCATGCCAGCAGTGCGTACCAACTGCATGGGGGGGTCTGTGTGCCATGTGCCAAAAACGGAAAGGTGAGAAAAGGAAATGCGTATACGGAAATGGCACATTTGCGTGCGTACAAGTATGCATGCCTGTAGACGTAGAATATAATGTGGGCATGATAGTAGAGTGCAAAAATCCATTCCGGCGGGTCATGTGATGGCTTGAATCACAACAATACTCCCCCACCAGTATGTAAGAGGAACGAAATGCATACGATAAGGAAAGCAAAATAAACCCCGAAGTACCAATACATGTACTGGAAAACAGAATGCATCATGACGGAATGCGGACGTAGTGTAGCAGAAGGGAAAGCAAGCACCAAAGAAAAAGGAGCGTGCACGAGAAAACACGACCAGCAGGCAATACTGAAAGCCAAACGCACACACAATTGAACAGAGGCAGGCCGCGCACCACAGTACACGAAAGGACTACTCACACTCCGTCAGCAGAGGCGAGATAGGCGGCCTTGATGCGGTCGATGGAGACAGTGTCGGACTTGCCATGGATGTCAAGCACAAAGAACTTGGCTGACCGGGAGATGACGCGATAGGGGCCATTGTACGGAGCCTGGAGCGAGCGACGCACACTGTCGACGCGAACGTACACATGGGAGCAGGTAGACAACGCCTGGCTGATGAACGGAGGCGATCGGGCCTGAACTTGCCGGGGAGCATACTGGGCAGGCTTGAGGTTGGCAAACAGCTCAGTCAACCGCTCAACATATGGTGCAGTATCAGCCGAGGCGGGAGCAGGAGCAAAGAATTCACCCGGCAGACGCAATGTAGTACCATAGGTGAGTTCAGCAGCGCTGCAGCCCAGATCAACGCGGAAAGCTGCGCGCACACCAAGCAGCGCTAGAGGCAGGACCGACGACCACTGCTCGGGCCGACCATTAGCTTTGAGGCACGTCTTGAGATGCCGGTGAAAGCGCTCCACCAGGCCATTGGCTTGGGGATGATAGGACGTGGTGCGCACACGGCAAGTACCGAGGAGTTGGAGTAGCTGAGAGAACAGACGGGATTCAAAGTTGGCGCCACGATCTGTGGTGATGGTCGACGGGACGCCAAACCTTGAGATCCAACCAGACAGGAGGGCCGTAGCGACAGTGGCAGCAGACGCATCACTAATAGGTATGGCTTCAGGCCAACGAGTGAATCTGTCAATGCACGTAAGGAGATACGTATGACCACCGGAGGAGGGCAGAGGACCAACCAAGTCGATGTGGACGTGATCGAACCTGTGGTCTGGCGGCAAGAAACGACCCACCGGACTCTTGGTGTGACGAGTGACCTTAGTTCGTTGACAATCATGACAGGACAGGGCCCACTGCTTGATGTCTGCGTTCATACCGGGCCAGACAAAGCGAGCGGCAATGAGACGGCGAGATGCTCGGATGCCCGGATGAGAGAGGGCATGGAGGGAATCAAAGACAGCTCGCCGGAAGCGGTCAGGGACGAATGGGCGTGGCGAGCCAGTAGACACATCACACAGCATTGGGGAAGCACTAGAAGGCAATAAGACGGACTTCCACTGCAGAGAGCTGTCGTCGGCTGTGCGCAGCTGCTGAAGTTCAGGATCATCCACCTGAGCGGCAGCCATGGCATTGAAATCAAGCGGCACAGAAGAGAGAGCAGGCGGAGTGTCACCGGACGCAGCAGCGGCTGTAGTTGCAGCAGAGATTTCAAAATCACGAGACAATGCATCTGCGACTGAATTGTCGACACCCTTGATATGACGAATGTCAGTCGTGAACTCACTGATAAATGACAACTGACGTAGTACACGGGGCGAATGCGGTGGGGACATGGTCCTCATGGCGAATGTCAACGGCTTGTGATCCGTGAGGACGTGGAACGAACGGCCCTCAAGCAGATAGCGGAAATGACGAATGGACGAGAAGATGGCGAGGAGCTCACGCCCAAAGGTGCTGTAGCGAGTCTCAGCCGGTTTCAATTTCTTGGAAAAGAATGCCAGAGGCTGCCACTGACCATCCACAAGTTGTTGGAGTACTGAACCAATGCCGACATCAGACGCATCTGTGGTCAAGCCAAGCGGGGCATCAGTCTTGGGATGTACAAGGAGGGTAGCGGATGCCAGTGCAGATTTGACGGCAGAGAAAGCTTGCACGGCTGCGGGTGTCCAGGACAAGGTATGCTGCTTGACCTTGTGGTTGATGAGCTCATGGAGTGGATGGAGGAGATCAGCAATGCCTTGTACGAAACGCCTGTAGAAATTCACCATGCCGATGAATCTGCGGAGTTTGCGGGAGGAGGCGGGCTGGATGAACTCCTGCACAGCCTGCACATTGGAGGGCAGCGGACGAATGCCTTCAACATCCACGGTGTGACCGAGGAATTCTAGACATGGCTCCGCAAACACGCACTTGGGAGGCTGGATGATGAGGCCGTGCTCGGCAAGACGCTGCAGGACGGTGTCGAGGTGTAAGAGATGCTCCTCGAGTGTCTTGCTAGCGATGAGTAGATCATCGATGTAGCTAAACACAAATGGCAGGCCCTGAAGGACTTGATCCAGGAAGCGCTGGAAACTCTGTGCAGCATTCCTCAGACCAAATGGCATCCTCAGGAATTCAAATGCGCCAAAGGGTGTGACCACTGCTGTCTTCTGGATGTCATCCGGGTGTACCGGAATTTGATGATACGCCTTGGCCAAGTCGATCTTTGAGAAGACTGTGGCACCATGGAGCGCAGCCGAGAAATCATGTAAGTGCGGCAGAGGATAGCGGTCCGGCTGGGTGGCGGCGTTGAGGGCCCGATAGTCGCCACAGGGTCTCCAGTCGCCCGATTTCTTGGGGACCATGTGGAGAGGCGATGCGTACGGGCTCGTTGAATGGCGCACTATGCCAAGCTCAAGCATGTGTTCAAACTCCTGACGAGCAGCTGTCAACCGATCAGGTGCGAGGCGGCGAACACGAGCATGGACGGGAGGACCACGGGTTACTATGCTGTGCGTGACACTGTGCTTAACCGGGGCATGCATACTCCGGTTAACGTCGGTCAAAGTCGGATACTTCGCCAGGATCCGAGAGCATGAGTGTTCTGGGAGTGGTGCGACATGAGCAGGACTGTCCATGGTGTGCAGGTGGCCGACTGATGCCAACGTCGTATGTGGATCACGAATACAGTTATGGCGGAGATCCACCTGCAGGCCATGGTGAGCAAGGAAGTCGGCACCAAGGATAGGGCATGTCACGTCTGCTACAATAAAGAGCCAGTGGAAACGACGGCGGAGACCTAAGCTCACTTGCAGGGAGCGCTCTCCGAAGGTCGTTATAGCCGTGCCATTAGCAGCTTGCAATTGCACCGAAGCGGGAGGGCGAGCTCTGTCAGATGGCAATGGCGGCACAATGCTAACTGATGCTCCAGTGTCAATCAGGAAGGTAAAGCCAGTGACACTATCCGCAACACGTAGTAGGCGACCAGGGCGTACCATCGAGCCAGGGGTGGTGGTCGCCACTAATCCCTGGCGCTCCCGTTTCCCGAGGCATAGGTGCACGGCGTGGTGCACTTCCTTGCACGTTTTCCGAAACGCGCATGATAGAAGCACAGCTTGGGACTGCTGGACCGGGACGATGCAGGAGTACTCGCTCTGGAACGGCCACGATGGCTCCTCATGTTGTCCATGGAGGTCGTTAGTGCGGCGATCTGGGCCCGGAGCTCAGCGATCTCCGAGGCGGCACTGGAGGCAGCAGGAGCAGCAGCAATGATCGGTGTGGGTTGGGCCACTTCCAGCACTCTGTCTGCCATATCAGCCAGCTTATCCAGGGGCAGGGAGTCGGAGGAGGAAGCAATTACTACACGCACATTGGAGGGGAGACGCTGGATGAACAGCTCCTTCAGAACCTCAGCATCCATAGTGCGGTCTCCCAGGAGTTGCTGCATGCGCCGAAGTAGTTGTGAGGGCTTGCGATCGCCCAGTTCCTCCTTTGTCAGCAACTGCTGTAGGCGTTGCTGTTGGGATGTCTGGGTGCGACGAACCAACTCCTTCTTCAATGTGTCATAAGGAGTGGTCGGCGGGGCTTCCAGCAGCAAATCACGGACCTCCATGGCGAATTCTGCGTCCAGAGAAGCAACAATGTAATCATATCGGGTTCGCTGACTCGTTATTCCGCGCGTGTGGAACAGTGCTTCGACTTTGGCGAACCAAATAGCAGGGTCCTTCGGCCAGTACGGCGGGAGCTTGAGGCTGACTGCGGCCGCGACAGGCGGAGCCGGTACGGTTGTCTGGCTGAGACCACCGGGCTGTCTATCCCCAGCGGGTGTGGTTAGAAACGAAGAGTCACCGCGACCACGGCCCGTGGGGGTGCGAGTTTGCTCAGCCATGACGATCCAGGAGTGGGATTTATTGTGTTGGATAACAGAGGCTGCCCTAAACAGCCAATGCTCGTAACGGGGTCACCAATTTAGTGGGTTGCTTTTACGCGTGCCACTAAATCACGCGGCTTATAGTATTCGAAATCCCCAAATCCCCTGGTCGACAGAAAGCACCGGCGTAAGCTAGAATTTAGCTCATAGCTGGACAAATTATCTCAAACATCTCCCATCAGAGAGAAGAGAAAAGAAGCCAGTAAAAACTCTAAGCATGGCCACAAAAGCCACCAGTCAAAAGATTACAGAAAAATACACACTGCGGAAAAGGGCACAACCTTTGTACGCAGGAGCTGTCAGCATGCCAGCAGTGCGTACCAACTGCATGGGGGGTCTGTGTGCCATGTGCCAAAAACGGAAAGGTGAGAAAAGGAAATGCGTATACGGAAATGGCACATTTGCGTGCGTACAAGTATGCATGCCTGTAGACGTAGAATATAATGTGGGCATGATAGTAGAGTGCAAAAATCCATTCCGGCGGGTCATGTGATGGCTTGAATCACAACACATGTACCATAATGTTACATCAATACATTATACAGTTATTTTGGGAGTAGGAATGAAGATATGTTCGAAGCAGTAAACTGCGTAAGCACTACGTTGAGCCACAATATTGAAATACAGTTTCCTGCAGTCAAAACAAGACTCTCATACTTCTCTGGTGTAGTTCGCCATTCTTATCGATAAACATGACTTGATTTAATTTCTTACGATGGTTCTTGAGAATGGATCAATGTTGTCTTGAATAGATGTCTTCCTGAACGAATTCAACTGAGAGGCAGTTTCAGTTTCAACAAGCTGGACATTGTTTTTCTGTGGAGTCTTCCCCAAGAAAGACAGAGCTACACACACGAAGGTGCTTGATGTACTCAATTACCTTCTTGGAGATGAACATATTTTCATTTCCATCTTCATTATATTTTCGTCTCTGTATCGTCGACGATGTCCACTTCTGACTCCGTAATCTTGTCACCCATCCTCTCCAAAAACACAAATCGAGTGCTGCTTGTATGCTGGATCAGTTGAAGTCAGTCTCTGTTCTAGCAAGATCGGCATGCAAAAATTACATGACTGAAAATATTCCGAAATAGCTTTTCTGAACGACGAAGTTTGTTCTTCAAATATGATGAATAGCACAATCTACTAGCCAGAACGTTCTCTCAAAAGAGATTCTATCTGAAGCCTGCAAGATTTTCGACCACCCTTCGTTTTGGAGAGGAGCCCACACACACCAGACTCGAGCTACAAGTAAACTACGCGGAGATCGAGAGTTCATCGAAATCTTTCTTGCTCACTTCTGAAACCTGTGAAGGAAGAAAGTATGCTGAACGCGTGAATGCCTACAGTTGAGTCGTAAATTTTTGACGTGGGTCCTGTGACCGTTCACAGAGAAAGTCGCGGCTGTCGGGTCATTCGCAACGCTGTCACCTTCAAATCAACTAGCCGCAGGCCCGCGCTGGGCACAACAGTATGAAGTAGTGGTTGCGACTTCGGCGATGATTTGTAAGAAAGGGTTTGCTCCCCACCCCGGAGCTCGCGCTATTCCTCCGACTTTACTTGACTGACTCACGACTGCCAATGACCGAGGGTCCTCGACGTCTGTCTCACCGTCCAGGAGCGACACTGACTCACGCTGCTATCTGGTGTTCACGAGGTGTTTGTTGCGCTGGAAACGGAGCGTCTCTGTAAGTTTGTATCCCTGGTGATGTTTGTGCCTGGAGAGCACTATATAAGTGGTGCTCTTCAGGCACAATCTTCCTCAGCCTACTCAAGCTCAACTGATGAGGGGTGAATTCCCCGAAACACTGTGTATTGAGCAGGGAGTGGTGCTTTCTTCCAGGTTTGCCGAGTCGAAGGTTCGATGGACTTCTCGTGTGCTCTGGATGGCAGTCGTGAGTCAGTCAAGTGTCAAGTAAAGTCGGCGGAATAGCGTGAGCTCCGGTGTGGG